TCCATAATTTGGGCCAGACGGGGTATCCCTCTTTACCGAGCAGGTAAGCTACGTGTCCCGAGTTGAATAACACACAACTTTCATGGTTTACGAGATATTCTTGAGAAATTCCCGTGTGGGCCTGTGAAGGTTGAAAATGGTGACTTGTTTGCAGTGAATTGTCCCACTTGGCATCCATTCCAATGTCCAAATGGTGACTGTGTTCCGATCAAATATCTTTGCGATGGATCACCTGACTGTGGCGATGAATATGACGAAAACAAGAGTATGTGCACAGCTGGTCAGTTGCACGTTTACCCTCCACGCATTCATTTTCAGCCATTCTCAATTTCATTGCAACTTATCGAAGCACCTATTTTTTGTCCTTCTAATAAAATACGATCGGTACGTAATCAGCATCGGAATAACTTAGTACTAGCTGTTATCCTTTACCGAGAGACTTATCGTTAAATATAGAACTCGCTGATGACGTCCATGAAAGAATTTACTTTTAAAAAATTAATCGTTCATCATCTTCGAATGTTTTGAGAAGTAACATCCTAATGCATTCACCCGAATCTGTCCGTTCAACAATTTCAGTTCTCATTTCTTTTTCGTTTCTAATTTCGTCATTCACCATCCATCGTCATCTCTCTTAATATAAATTTAAAGTGTGCATGGATGTGCAACTGAATGATTTTGATTTACAATTCAATGAGATAGAAGGATGACCATAATTTATGCGATGAAGTTTTGCAATTTGAATTTTCATTCAACAAATTGTCGGAAATAATTTTACGTTAGCGAAATTGAGCACTTTAACAAATCTATCGCACATTCATTTGGTTGTTGAACTAGATTCGAACATTAAAGACGTGTGCACTATTCAAGTGCTGAATGTCTGGAAGCAAGTTTTCTGGAAGTTACAAATTTGAAATTGTTATTCGTTATCAGCTTGATGGCAAAGAAAGCCGTACACTCCAAGATTTCGAATTGAATAAAGGTGCAAAAAATCTAAACCACAAACATGACAATCTTCATTGACCTCAAATTAAGAAAACTGTCAACACAGTGGTTCGCTTTCGAAAACACTCTTTCTAATTGGTGCTATTAGCATAGGATCGATCAATACGTAACACCTGCCTTATATAATTCAGTTAGGCTCATGAGATTAGAGGTAGTCGAGAGTCACATAATGTCATGATTACATCCACTAATTTCAATTCATCTGCGACAATTCACCACAGAACCATTTCAATTACATTGCCACATTGTTACATTATCAATTGTCACATTTGGAAATCTCATTAAGACACGAAACGAAATGACGTTCATTAAACACATATAATTGATGGAATGGTAAGGTGGTCAGGTGATTGCCTCACAGAACCACATCTCACCTGTTTATTTTGATAGCGGTTTCAGCGATTGACGTTTCAATACGTGTTCAAGACATGAATTTGTTATTCGTGAAAACATGCAATGCATGTGATATATCAGAATACTTCCAAATAGTATAAGACCAGTTTCGGATAGCACCGAAACATTCCTGGGGCTTAACCGTAACACTTATTCGTATTACAAAAACAATACATGTAAAGTCTGAGTTGTTTCAAAGATCAGTGCTTTCAGTTGACGGTTAATTTGCTACGAGCAGACATCACACATTGTTATGTACGCAGGTGCATTCATTGCGACTGCTTAAGGCAAACACATCATTTACTCGAAGAAATAACTTAATCACTTTAGATGCGATGCTATTTCTCCAACAACTTAATCCTCAAAACGAGACGGAATTCATAAAGTAGAATATTAGTCAGCCTTAGGGATAATACGACGTGAATTCGAAGGGAGTGATCATAATTGATCAGTGAATAGGGAATAAATGATTTCAGCGACTCGGCCACCCGTCGAGGAGACAGCCTCATTTCTGAAGGCACTTCTGCATGCACACGGAAGTAATTTCTTAGAAAAAGTATTCGGACCGAAAGCAAGAAACCAACTCGAGGGAATGGGTGGTGTTGACAAAGTTGCCGTCGCATTATCACGTTAGCTTTTCAAATAATCGTTTCTTTGACGAGTCTTGACACCATTTACTTCCGTTCGTTGAATTCACATTGATTCACTTCAAAGAAAAACTACTCCAAAAGAAAATTACTCCAAAAGCAGTACCAATCGCGTTGAATACGTTACGACAAGTACTGGGCTTACATTCGGGAGGCAACTAAAAGTTCCTCTCACAGAGATATTTGATCCAGACGAACCATTTGAGATTAGATGAAAGCTGCACATTTCAAACGTTGACTTAGCTGAGAGATCAACAATCTTGTAACATGAAGGCAAGCTAATTTATTTCAACTAACTCAGTGAATTTCACGTTCCAGAATCACCAACGATCGAGATATTCGGGGCAGAAATGAATTTTACGGAAGATGAAATGGAGAAGATGACCGATTTATTGGCCGAAATCGCATCCGGCTCTAATGCTGGACTGACCAAAAACGAGGCAGACGATTTTCGATTTTTCGTGGAAAAGTTACATGATACTGGATTCTTTTAGTTGATTTTCGATCATTCAAATTCAGCGTTCATTCTTACGACACTCTTCGACAACAAAATCGACAAGCTTAGCAATTCAAATAGAAGAATGCCTCTTGAGACAAAAACGAATATGAACTAAACTCTGTCTGATGAATGACTAGTTGATGTGTTACTGATGCAGCAATGAAACGCTTGTATAGAATCTAAATTAAGGCTTTTGATGATATGGATGATTATGATTTCTGATATTTTGGTGATGATTGTGAGTTTGAGTACTGATCAATAAATGCGAATAGCAGTTACGACAGTGTTGACAATGTTCACCGCAACAATCGGATGCTTCACACTCGGTGACAATCGTATTTATATTCGAACAATATTCATATGAAAAACTGTTGAGATGGCATTTCAAATTCTGCAAATGTATTTGTTTTTCACTCAGCAGTATACTTGGGTGTCCAATCGGTGCGCACAAACTATCACTAACGGTATTGATCTGAAGTGGTCGCACGAAAATAAATACCCTCAAAATAACTGTTCTCATGCACTATCCTCGAACAATTCAGAAGTAGTCAGAAACTGTGGAGGACTGAACATCAGAAACTTCTAAGAAAGTGTGCTTGTGTACCAATCTATTTCTTTGTATTGTACTTTCATTTCAACCACCAATCCAACAAGCATAACTGCAATTCTCAATTGCGTAATGAAAACAAAAGTTGTTTATCAGTGGAAATAATTCATTCAGTTGCATAATCGAAGCACATTCAGGTATTTTACGCACTATTTACAAATCACGTCTAATATTCAATGAATATCGCAAAATGTGAGCAGGACTTGATGGACTTAACTGGCTTCACAAATAGATCCGGAGCAAGTGCTTCAGTCTTTTCCTTTTGCCGTATAATAAGTCCAATAAACGATATTACATATCGCAAACGATATCGGGAAAAGTTTTTGACAGAACCTGAAAAAGCAGAAGTCTCATGAGAAGTGAGCGAGCGATCAGGAATGCTGACAGCACTAAGCAAATATTGATCTTCAAATATTTTGATCAATCAAGCACTGATTCGTTAACCGAGGAGGCCAGACAAAAAAAAAACGGCTCTTCTTCAAGACGAGTGTAATTTCAAGAAAGGAAACAGATTCAGCGCCTTTCAATTGTTGAGTAAATGTACTGAAATCGAAGGAGTAACTGAGATATTGCTCAGAAATTGAGCTTAATTGGAGGATTGCGATATTTCAGAATATCACTATGAAAATCAGTGTATGGTCGCTCTATCCCTGTAATAATCATCAAGAACTAACCTGTCCATATCCTCACCACCCCATTTATGGAACAGTTTCTTTCGCCGTGCCCCTCTTGCCTGCCTCCGTCCCAACCTCGACGATCGGATACGCATTAGCAGATGACTTGAATCACCATCTTCAACGAATTCAATCAGAAACAGTCTTATAATTCACTAAAACTTTCTATAACTTCTTCAGGAAGGACATTAGTCTAATTCATTTCAATTCAGTCTAGCGAATCGTTTTAATTAGACGTGCTCTGAAACTGATTAGTGTACAAATGAAAGCATCTCAAAGGATAGTATTGAATAAGAACAATTAACTGGGTCAGATTTTGAAACTGGAATACAACGCTTGTTCGCTGAAATATCAGTTATATCACTAGCATGAGTGAGATCAGCAGTCACAGAAAGATCATAAAATTCCATTTAGATGCAACGGAGAACATTGGAACGTACTCTGTCGAGAATATTCCATCTCGGGATTATTATTCGACTGCGGTGGTTTCGGCTGATGGCATTCGTAAAAAGTGGCATCCCTTATCCATGGGTTACCACTTAGCACAGGACTTGGTCGATCAGGTGGTGTACGCTCATGGTAGGATAACCTCAGCTGAAAGTCCATCTCAACTCTTGAAAATTCACTTCATATGTCGAACGATGCAGATTCAATGTGCTTGCACAAGTTTCAGTGAAAACTTCTGTTTCTGAGTTTAATGCGTCAAATCTTCCACTCACTAAAATCCTTGTCTTAAGCCAAAATATATACCCGATTAAACCCATAATGTTGCTTAATTTATCGTGTCACGAACTGCTTCATTAGGAAAACATTCATTCCGTCAAGTGAGTATTCTCATTAACGACAGATATTGCACATCTATAGTCTTTCGTATGATCAAAGGCGAATGATAGTCGCTCGGCCAATTCTATGTTTGTGATCTGTGAAAGAACAAGAGAACAACGATATTACGAATAAAGTGTGCTGCTCACTCACCTCACGTCTTCGTGCCTTTTCAACGAAGGTTCTCTCGCTGAAGTTTCGTCGTTTATCAAAATCCTCTTCACTGAGCAGCTCATCGCCGTCCTCATCCGTAACAGTGTTCTTTTCCAACATTCCAACGATAGCCAATTCAACGATTGACAAAAATATATATCCAACACATCCGAACATGAATAAATCCAATCCTTTCACATAAGACACCTTAAACGATAAAGCTCTTAAGTGAGGGCTTTATACGGAAATGTACACTGCTACCGATATTTCAAGTTTCTACTACTACCATTCACCCCATTTTTCAGCAGAAATGTAACAGAACTACAATCTGTGAGTTAATTTGGTTCAGTACTATATTCTCACGAATTGACTCGTAATCATCCACTTGTTTCAGAGTTTTGCGTTGCCAAATGCTTCGTCTCTTTTCGTTTGCCACTGNATTGTTCCAAATGAACAAGTCATGCATGTAGCATATCGTATGGAGAAAGGCTTAATAAAATGTATTCGCATTCGTGAATGAATAATTAGCAGTGGTTTCTGATGTTCTGCAGTAATGTTTCTTTGTTGATTCACTGACCAACCTTGGGAAGAGAACGAGCAACATTCGAATACTGTAGCGTAAGAGCCATAAGTGAGGAAACGCCAAGAGTGACTCGTGCTGGCAAAGATCTTCGATCCAACCAGAATGAGATCCACGAGATTAGCACCATACAATAGGTTGGAAGGTAAATTTGAAGAATGTAGAAACCGTACGAACGACGAAAATATATTTTTATATTCAGCTGAAAATTGGCTATCAGTCGAAGTCCATCACCTATGAAAAACATCCAAAATATGGCTCAAAACGATTCTATTGAACGAACTATGGTTCTGGTTCTATAATGTGCTCGGAATGGATTCAACTCGAAAACGAGCAGATGAAACGAAATATTTTATAAACTGGATTCGTATACCTGATCCCAAACTCCTGCCGGATATTCAAATGTCGCCTTTTCGTGGATGAAATGTGTCATATGAAAATCCGGCAGGTTCGTATCACCTATGATTTCCACCGGAAGTCCGTGACGTTTCCAGTGCAACCGAACCTTACCCACATTGAACGAATAACTCTCAAAAACAGTCGTACATTCGACACGGTCCATCGGAAAGAATGTGAAGTCCATATCACAAGGTGATTCCACCACGATCCTGAATAAGTTCGATCAAATATGCTGCTTACCTTTGCTGGCTGCATTATTTTTAATCTATATTATGATTCGTTAACAGCACTCTTCATTTATGAAAGGATTCCCTTCAATATGATATTTGATAGAAGGATATTGATGACCTTGAACTGATCCCTCACAAAAGATACAAAAACCCATCGATATTCGCACTGTTTTTGGATGGATTTCAGAAACGCTTCGTGAGAATTTTAAAGGTTATAAGAAAGGAAATGATTCGATGCACGCTTTAAGAAAGTGATTTTCACGTTTGTGTGCGTTTAGATATCCGTGTAAAAAATACACCATCACAATGACGTTCTATCATAACTAACAACTGCACGAAGTACTATCTTCCCGACTCCCTTCATAACCTCCCTCCCTGCTCTCTCTCGCCCTCCCTGACACCCCCAAATTACCCAAAAAGGTAATCCCTCTCCNAGACCGTTGTGTTGCTCATTATTGCAATCGGTTATGATTACATGAAAAGCTGTTGTCTGTGACATACTCACTTCAAACTGATTTAGATGAATTCTCATTCTTTTCAGATATGTTGTATTACTCTTATAGCTAATACATGCGAATACCGTTCTCTTGATAAGTTTTCCTCATTCAATTCGTCTCCTTTTGCTTCACAGTTCAAATCAATTTCTTATTCTGTAGCATATACTATTTACCGGATACGTTGACGAGTGTTGACAGCCGAAATCAACAATCCAGCAATCGAATATTATTGCTCAGCAACGCTCAACAGTCAAATGATCAATTATAGAATGTGTTTGATAGAATGAGAATATGACTATAACTGTCGAGTGAAATGAGTGAGAAATTAGCAAAGGAAAAAACTTTTGGTGATAAAAGCTATGAGAGCGATTGTAACAGCAAGGAAAAGAAAGAAAACCTTGTTGAAACGAATGAAAGCCCTGTTAGGCCCAGTCAAGCTAATGATACTCAGAAAATATGAGAATGAAAAGTGTTGCCATCAACTAACCACATATACATATCCAAGTTGAAAACACCATCTTAATGACGTTCAATCATAATACATCAACTGCACAAAATACTAATTTCCTGACCCCCTCCATCATCCCTTGACACCTCAAAATTACCCAAAATTGGTAATATCACCCCCTACGAGAACCATTGCTTTAAGAGAATGGACTGACCGGTAATTCATCCAGACTGTTCCGTTCGGGAATATGGCGAGAAATATGTTTGGGGTCGGTGATTCGTGGATTGCTGATCCTTTACTGTTAACAATGCATACATTCGGCAACCAAATGTGCTCCACCATACGATGAGACAGAGATAGATTTGTAAGGCACTGTGCACCATCTTCGTGCTGAATGTTCATTAATCCTTTCGCAAAAACATTCAAAACATTAAGCTGTTACCGAATAACGATGATAAGCAAAAGCAAGTGATGTTCAATTATCGATTATAACAGCGAAAGTATTCATGATGCATTCACCTGAAAAGCCAGTCCTGGATCATGCCAAATTTGTGAGAAAAGAATATCCATCTTCGAGCTGCTGTGAATTTCGGATATCTCCGAGATCTGAAACAGAAAGAAACTCTCAACATGCTAGCAGTTTGCTATGGTATCAGTGAACGAAGTCATCTGAGATGGAGCATAAATAATACGTCCTTGATCTTCTGACTGCATAGAATCCCATGTGATTCATGACTTATCGCACGAGAATGTACTTTATAAGTTGGTGTGAGTGTGAAATCGTTCAAGTTCCATTGTGATACTAGCAACATTCACTCATGCGAATTTTGACAGACTGTGAGCAAAATAAATGAAATTACCCGTTGGATGAGTAACTCCAAGTCAACGTCAACTCCTTTCATTGTGGGCACCATATTGCGGTCGTAATTCTTCAGCAATTCGGTTAGAATCCTTAAAAACAAATCTTACAGATAAATTCATGCTCTTTTTCATTGTCTTTACTTTTTCACTTTTCTCTCACTTCGAATTTGCTTATTAAAATATGAATTGTTTACAAAGAGACTAAGTATCCGCCAAAGTTTCTAGGAATATGTTCGAGCAAATACTAGAGTCGAGTATGAAATTAAAATGATCCAAAATAATTATATTCCAGTTCAGCTGGGAGCAAAATTTATTTTGCTTATTTTCAATTTATTTTTAATTATGTTCCAATTAAAATAATTATATTCTTTCCAGTTCAGTTGGGAGCAAGATTTATCCCTCCCTACCAATCTCACTCTCCGTGTTTTGCTGTATTATATTATCAGTCTGAATTCCTTAATTGACTGAATTATCGCGAAAATCATTTTCCGTTTTTCATGACAGGAATGAAGATTTAAGAAGTCTTCCCCTACTTTGCAGTGTTTATCGACCCTTTCGACTAATCTAACCTAAGCCTTTTGGATGTGATGTTTGAATGCGTGTGTAAAGTATTCCGTACATCAAAACGGGACGACACTATTAAATATTCTTATCAAACATTCATATGACCACTCGCTGCATAAGTTGTGGTGGTGGCTTTCAATTAAAGCTGTCCATTTACTTTCTTAAGATCAGTGATCTGAATCGCTTGCGAAATGCTTCTTAAGCGATCTGTGGTCTGTGCGAGTCATTCTCATCATTCTCACACAAACATAAACTTATGTGCACGTGTTTTCATCTCAACTCAAATCATATTTGTTTTATTTCGAGCACAGCGCACAATCAAAGTGAATTGTTATGCTAATTTTGCGGATGTTTTCATCGCCATTTCCCACCCGACTTCCCATAATCCTTTTGCGCACATCCTCGATCAAATCATCGTTCAACAAAACAACAATCCCATTGATTTGGCAAATACGCAACGATAAAATTCTGCTCAACAAATATTTCTTTGTGCTGAATGTGTTAGGAAATTAGCTGAATGATTGTTTGCGAGCAATGACGACCTAGAGCAGAATGTGTGAAAATTTGACGAGACTAAATCCTGTTGACATCCGCTTTCAACCAGCCATAAAGTAGCCAAAACTTTTGCTTCAATTGTGCAGACAATTGCAAAATACAACATAAATATTGACTAGTTTTGTGACTCTCAAAAATTTGTTCGATGTGTTCGGTGTTTGAAAATCACTTAAATGCTCTTCACATGTTCATATGAGAGTATATTTCGAAAGTGTGCACACATCACTGGATTATCAGTGTGAAAAAAAACAGTAATTTGTAAGTAACGATGAACCTTGTTGCGGCTTTCTCTGCTCGACCAAGAATACAGTCGGGTGTTGATAGAAACTCATCAACTCGTCCTAAACTAAGAAATCGTTTCGGTTGCTGATAACGTTCACCTCTCAGTTGTAGCAGAAATTAGTTAAAGGAAATTTTATTGACCCATTCATACTAAATCGAGATGGAAACGTGAACAAAAATGCATAAAGTTTAGTCCCACATCAAACATACTACGTTTTCGTAATTGCCTGATCCCCGATGCCTTGCCAGGATTCCTTTTTTGAATTGTCGCAGCCAAAAATTGGAAGTTTTACAGGTTCCGGACGTCTATTGCAGTTGATGCAATAGACTGATTTGTTTCAATCGTTAATGCATGAATGACACTATTAAATTATGTGATGAATTTGAGGGGCATCAATTTAAGGCTAAGAACAGATGAAATTATCGAACGATAAACGACTTCACGAAGTAATCAAAATCCAACGAACTCATGCAATTGCCGTGTGAGTCTGCCGTAAAGCCGGAACGGCATTCACAACTTATAGCACCGTCGCCTCTATCCTTACAGTACGATGACCGCAAATCGCATTTCTCACAACCTGCAATTCAACATTACAATTGTCATTTGCAGTTCTAATGATTCGAAATCCTTCAATTATTCCGCATGTTTCAACGGCATCCGACCGACGGTGGCTCAGAAAAATCCGGCGGTCTCGGTCGGGATTCCGACCGAGCAGTTTGTAAGGTCGGTCGGAATTTCGACTGTCGCAATGACGAAATGCCAGTTCGGCAGGATTCCGACCGTCACGAAATCTCGATCAGATGCCATCACTGCTCTGNAAATCGTATTTATTGCTGATTGTTTTACATGCTTCAGATGTTTTATGACAATGCAGGTACATATCATACTCGAACAGACAAATTGACAGGTGTTCTGCGATAAGTCGAAGTGAAACAAAATGCATTACTTGTTTTAAATATGCTAGCAGAAGCTCACACTGAATGTTCCTTGTTAGAATGTCACTGGTTGATTGTTATGATAACTAACAAGCAACAACTGTTCTTTGACTTGATAGGTACTGGCATGTATGATTGTGATCTTTGCTAACATCTTTTGCACCTCACGATAAATTCAGCCGAATCAGCGAATACGACAGATCGTGGCCATTCGAGGATCTAATTTGAAGTGATCGATATCGAAAAAATCGATGTCGAATAGCTAAGTGACGATGAATGGATTGAGTAAATTCGCAATTTATCAGGGAAACAGCCAAACACTAAATGGAAATGCTCTTTTATCAGAAAAACATTCAACATCCTGATGAGTGCGAAGGAATTATCAACGGATACATTATACCAACGTGATGAACTACAACATAGTCCACTGAAAATGTATCTGCCACATAATTATCGTTCACAATTTCATGCCATTAATATCAGTTAATTGTTATGGTCGGAACCGTTATAAATTTGCTTGTTTATCCATCACTATTGTTATTATTATTCATTGAAAAATTATGAATGCAAAGGAAGAAGGCCATTTGAGGAGTTATCATAATTTGCGTAATATTTTGACACAATTGTTCAACTCATTTGAATAATCACGCAATGTTTATTTTACGAAACGGTGTCTGACAATGGTGAAATGGTGTTATTAACGATAAGCTCTGTTTACGATTGTTGTATAATAGATCACCGCTAATATCTTTAAGCTTACGATTCGCTGTAACAGTTTACGAGAAAGTGCAATGGTGAATGCGAAACACAACAAAATGTAAACCTTCAAATGGTTATCTCGTCATTTTCTTTCTATATCCTGTATTTTTCCCAAATTCATGAACATGTCAGCGATATCCCAGCAACGACAGCCCTCCGAACTATCACTGCCAAGTAAACAAACTAGGCTAAGTGATATCTAAGTGATATTGAATTTCGAAAAGCACTTATCGAATTACAGCAATTATCATCAATGAGCGCAGTGAATTTGCGAAAGTATCAATGAATGAATATCAGATTTAATAGCCGACACACTAACCTTTGTGGATTTGTGCGATGGTTCGCTGCAAGAATATGATGAGTAGGATATGAAAAATGCATCGGTGCATGCTTGTCAATGTGCAGTCGACGTTTGCAATGCGGCGCTGAAAACATTTGAACAAAGCGATTCAGTGAATCCACAACCGCAGTCAGTCGTCACTTGTTTGGATGCAGATAGCGCTGTGAATGGTACAAAGCACTTCGATCATACGCTAGGACATCGTAGCACTTGATATCCTCATCTGCAACGTTTTCGTATTCAGCTAAAGGATTCAGCTTGAGTGACTGATATCCTTTAATCGCTTATATAACATTGTTGAGATAAGTTGCTGGATCAAAAGTATGATCAAAAGCGTGACAATTCGTTCTTGAGAGCAATTAGTGATTACATTTTTCGAACGAATTTCACGAATGCTCCAAATCGTAATAATGGACGGTGCGATCGCTACGATAGCGGTCACTGGGAATCTTCCAACGAGACTTACAATCACACCCAATAAGACATACATTTGCAGACTGAAGGTAAGTGACACTACAATTACAGAGGAAATTGCCTTCCTATTTGTTATAATGTTGATATTTGGGTGCTTCATGAATATTCAGCTACTTATCACCAACAGACGTGATGTCTGTTACGTTACGAAAGCATTACAAAAGCACAAAAAAACTGAACAAATAAATTTTGTTGCAGGCCTAATTTCGTCGGCAGTCGTCAGATTTTGTTTCTCGACTTGATGATCAAATGTGATAATCAAATAAAAACAACCACACTGAATTACCGCTACAACCACCAGCATCAGAGCTGAAACTCGATGGCCACAACAACAATGCGTTGATTAGATATGTAAACCCTCCAGTCTACTCAACCGCCCACTTCCATATCCATATTGCCGACAATAGATGATGCATAAATTTTGTTAATGCAAATTGCATTTGTTGTTGTTCTTCGATGGATTAACAACAATAAATTGCTTTTTGCTAATTTCGTTTGCATGGACACGCCGGATAGCACAGTGATAGAATCATGGTTGCAGAGTGACGGAAGTTAGTGTGTGGCAATAGAAACTTATCATTTGATTATCGCAATTTGATCAACAATCCGCTGAAAGTTTTCGTCTCCATCATCCCCACTTCTTTGTCCAGAGGAGATGCTGATCGCTAATGAACAATGCCAACGACACGACTGATGAGTTCATTCAACAGCAAGATTCAACTAAACTTTTACCATCTAATAATCTTACGAACACACTATTTACAATCAACAAATTAGCTGTCATAAACTGTTTGTGGCTTATGAACAATGATAAATTTCTTGACATCGCCAAGTAATGTTTGATGCATATACTCTCAAGGACATCACTGAGTATCACATTGAAGTGTAGCTGTGCTATCGCGAAGTTTGTATTCGAACAATGATGTCTTTCGTGGTGCTGACAATAACGCTCATGAATTTACAAGTATTCGATTGTTTCACGAAAATATGATCATATGAGCATGCTGAAATCGCATCTGATTGCCTATCCAAAAAATACCACGAAAAAACGATGCATACGAGCATACGATATTTTCTTATCCAGACCATTCTATCATACGAGCTTCAAAAAACGAGAAAGAAGCAGGATTAATGAGGCTTCAATGATATGATCAGCTGTCAACAGCGAATATCATCATTTTAACGTTCTTATCATCACAACAATGAAAAGAAAAATTATCAGTTATCGAAAATGTTTTGTGATAAACTCGTAGAAAGATTGAGAAACAGCCGACAATTCTAAAAACTAAAATCGTATGGTAAAATGATAACAAATTCAAAAAAGCATTGACGCTACGTGCTGAATGAATATGAGGCGGAAGGCGGTTCATTCCACGTGGTTGTGATCATTGTCTAAGAAATGAGGGCGGTTTCTCAAGACTTGTCCTATACCTATTCGCAGAAATTTCTGCGAATGAAAATGCGATGATCGAATTTCGAAAGCACTCTCTTCATTTCAGCAACTCATTGTATCATTGTTTCACTAAAATATGATCATATGAGCATGATCAAATCGCAGCTGATTGCCCACCGAAAGAATTAGTATGAAAATTTAGCCTCAGTAGAAGCCAGATAACGTTTTTTTCCTGAGGTTTTGAGTTTTTCTTCGTCAATTTTTGTTTTTTTAGTCAAGAAGATTTTCGCCAGATCTTATTTCCAAGGAATTCAGTCATCAAAACAGGATTGTGATCTGTGGATCCACGAGTGCTCCTCTCTTAACTCCATTAGTAAACAGCCTATAACATCTTGCTAAACTAAATTTTATACTAGTTCCAGTATTTTCATAGTGACTAAAACAATTACTAGTAAGTATTCGATACAGTCAGCTTAATTTACACTTTATATAAACTTGCTTTCTGTGCAAGTATTATTTCTGTCTCATCGTGCATTACAAGAAAGCAATCGAGAGAAATATACTGGGCATTCGAATAATGAAACTAAATTATAGTAATGACGAATCGTTTGGATGTTATTTTGCTGAATAGGATCGCGCCGATGAAGCTGTTGTCTTTAACGAATCCTGCGACAACAATGCAATTGATAGCATTCATGCAACTAAGATAGAGGTAATTCATGAATGTTTTATGCATGCAACACTAACAAATAGATCTTTTTGAGAGCGTATGCATCAACAAAATTTTAATCCGATTATAATTTCCTTGCTAAAAAGATTTGCGGTTACATAATCGGTAATTCCAGTTGAATGCAAAATCGGAATCCGTGAGGTTCAAAAGAGCAAAACAGAATCGAATTGTGAATGCTGATGGATTTTTGTTGAATTGGTGAATGGAAATAATGTTAATTATTCGATGAAATAGTGAACAATATCACGACAGGAGGTCGTTCATTTGTATGCATCGCCCGTTTTCAATCCTTTTTCACTTTTCATGAATGAATTTCCACAAATTTTTAAAATCGATTGCTTCTAATGGAACAAAATCAAAAAGTAAAATCCACAATGTGTACATTAGTTATTACAATCAGATTAAATGCAAAATATCGACAAATTCTGCAAAAAAAGTTGAATGAAAATGCAAAAATGCGGTGGATCTGGATGGATGGACGTTTTAGCAGTTCAGTGATTAAGCAGTTCAGCAAAAAAAGGAGAAATAAACGAGGCGATTGAACGGATTGACGGATTCAGAGAAAGAAGCACATCCGGATATGACGATGACATTGAATGACTGCAACAAGCTTACGGGTGCTTGCAACTCATCGAGAACAATGAATAAATGAACAATTGAATATGATTGACAATTGCATATTCCGTGTATCAACAACATCACTTTCAATTTCATATCATTACTTCAAATATCTTCTTCGTTCGCATCGTCACCATCATCACTAACTTCTTTCTTCGCATATTAATAATAATTCCTTTCTAATACATACCTTTTTGAGCCGTTTGTTGCTATGTATTATAATATAGCTTCATTCGGTTCAATCGCCCGCCACAGGTTTACCGCTTATTGACATTCCGATCCAATCGTAGTGATTTTATATTCAAACCTAATCTGACATAATTTTC